CTGACGCACCCAAGGTGGACTTGACGCACTCCTGACGCACCCAAAGTGGATTTGACGCACTTTTGACGCACCCAAGGTGGACATGGCGCACTCGTGACGCACCCAAGGTGGTCATGACGCACTCGTGACGCACCCAAAGTGGATTTGACGCACCCAAGGTGGTCGTGACGCACTCGTGACGCACCCAAGGTGGACATGACGCACTCGTGACGCACCCACGACGCACCCATGATAAGCATGACGCACCCGCGACGCACCCATGAGAGACGTGGCGCATTAGTGACGCACCCATGATGGGCATGACGCACTGGCGACGCACTGCTGAATTAATACCTATAATATTTTATGTTCTGCCGTCCGTTTATTCATTTTTGAACTTGACTCGAAGCGCACATTAAAGGGTAAATCGAACCCGGTGTTTCAGGTGGTTCTGCCACTTCGACGACGATAATTACGTGAACGTGCCACGCCTGCTGAAGCTTCTGGACAACTACAATCCTCGGGAGGATTGGTACCTGGGCAGGCCCTCGATACCGGCACCCTTGGAGATCATCAGGCAAGGACCGGAACCCTCCAAGCGACCGGTGAGTCCGATTCAACGAATCGTTTCAAATGTTTCGCGAAAAAAGGCCACGGAGTCTTATCGGTTAACCTGGATTACGAGGAGAGAGTTATCGACGATTAATCTGAACGATGAGCTCGAGTGGAATCGACGCTCGAAAGTATCCGAGGCAGGGAATCAAGGAACTCCGATTTTTCGGTGCCTCGGATTCCTTTCTCGTTTTCTTGCGAGGGACCGACACTCGGCGGCGACCCACGGAGACAGTAATGAGCAGCGTTTCTTTTTTTACCGGTCAGTAGCTAGAGGCGTGAAATTCGTTCCCGGGAGGTCCGAGTTTACGAGCCGAAGGTCGAATATCGATAAATGTTCGACTTTTTTAGAAATAAAAGTAGGGCAACGTTGAATTTTATTCATTTTACTTCTCTGCAGGCTTTGGCGAATTTATGCATCTCAGGAGGTTTGGCCTAAAATCGCCGTAGACTTCTGCCACTGTAGAGATTCTTTTTCCGTATATTTCAAGTTAAACTTTGCTTAAATTCAGACGGTGTTTCTTGGAGCACCCTGTGTATCCTTATTATCGGACTGCAACAGACACGACAGGTTTTTACGGTTGTATCTCGTCGACTCGAGCCGTGAAATCGTGATTTTCCTCGCGAGGGACCGTCTCCTCGTGTCTCTCGAATAGTCAATTTTCTGAGCTTCTTACACGCCCCATTATGTCTCTCTCGCCTCTCGCTGAGAAATTACTCGAAAATCTGCTCCGAGATCATTTTGACTCCCTTCTCTATAACTGACTTCAAATGTTCTTTAAAGGTGATCCACTCGAAAGGTCACTCGCTCATCCTTCTGTTTAATACAATTTAATAGATGCTAATATTAACACTAGAACTACCAACCAGTCAAAATGACTGGTTTCAGATTTCTCATTTTATATTACATAATTTTATTGCGATTTTATGGAAATGTCTATCATATTTTGTCGAGGTAAGTTCTATATGTTACTTGATGTTTTAGTATTTATTTATTTCCCTTTTAATTTTATTTTTCATTCTTCGATAAACGAGCATTTAATGTCGGTAGTTCTGGTGTTAATGGATGTTACATGGTGTGAAATAGTTACATGGTAAACATAACGTGGACAGGTTAACTGATCAAACTATGTTTAATTCAACATTTCATAAAGATCAAACTACCTTTACTTTAAAATTTCATAATTAGTTTAACAGTTCCACCAAGAGATTCAAGTCTAAAAATGTCTTCAGATATCTTCAACAAAAATACCGTCGAAAGGGTTAAAATCCTATTAGACAACAATCCTATTCCCTCTGCGTTGACCATTTTTCGAGACAGTAAACGTTTGAATACTCAGAATAGCAATCTTAACCCTTCGCACTCGGCTGTCCCCTCTGAGGAAACATTTTGAACGACAAAATAAACTTTCCGAGTGAAAAGTTCGGAAAATTGAAAAGTGGAGAAAAGGAAAGGGTAGTCGTGCGCGAAAGAGTACGGCTATGAAAGTCGGGGTGCGATCAAAAATCGATAAAAGGCCTGTCTTACGAGCGGGCTTACGAGATACACGATGCGATTTGGATTCCGCGAGATATGATCGCCGGAGTCCGGCAGCCGACAGGTAAAACGGGCTGCGATCTTATCGGTCGACAGTGTCATGCTATAAGCCTATTAATCCTTTTTCCCTTGACCGAAAAAAAGAGAAGAAAGGATGAATAAAAGGATCACCGTTGTCGGAGCTCTTCCGACGGGCCTCCTCTTGTGTTCCCGAAAAAAAGTTTCCCCGTCCATTTATCATCCGCTTAGACAAATTAATAGCGGCTTTGATCCTGTCGCTGCTGCTCGTTGCCTTCTTCGGAAGGAAATCGAGTCTTTGTCAATCGGTAATTATAATAGTATAAGAAGGTTAATTAAGTAAGCGTTTGGTAACTGTGAGTTTAAGTAGCGTTTAAGTAACTGTGAGAGTAATACAAGTTTCGCGACGACAGGTGCTTTGAAAGCGTATGAACACAGCGCGGGAAATTCAAAACCCTAAAGGAGTGTAAGAACTGCCTGTCCGCAATAATTATCAGAAGGATGAATAAAAATAAAATGACGTGCTGAAGAAAGCTCCTGTCTCGTATTCCGAAATTTCAGATACGTCTGAGAGTAGTATTTTACACGTCTCGAGTACAGGTACTTTGAAAGCATATGAACGCAGCGCGCGAAATTCAAAACTCGAAAGAGCGATCTTAGGATCGTTGCCTCCGTCAGGAAATTCGGAAAAACTTTGTGAAGGCATCAGTAAATTTGATAATAATATAATAAGAAGGTTAAGTAGCTCAGAGTAGCAACTCTGAGAGTAGTATTTTATATGCCTCGAATATAGGTGCTTTGAAAGCATATGAACGCAGCGCGCGAAATTCAAAACTCGAAAGAGCGATCTTAGGATCGCTGCCTCCTTCGTCAGGAAATTCAGAAAAACTTTGTCAAGGCATCAGTAAATTTGATAATAATATAATAAGAAGGTTAAGTAGCTCAGAGTAGCAACTCTGAGAGTAGTATTTTATATGCCTCGAATATAGGTGCTTTGAAAGCATATGAACGCAGCGCGCGAAATTCAAAACGCGAAAGAGTGTTGGGACCATCTGTCCACAATAATTATCAGAAAAATGACAAGCTGAAGAAAGCTCCTTCCGTCTCGTATTCCGAGAAAAGTATCTCAGATCAGTCTTAGAGTATTTTATACGTCCCGAATACAGATGTTTTGAAATCATACACAGCGCGGGAAATTCAAAACACGAAAGAGTGTTGTGACCATCTGTCCACAATAATTATCAGAAAAATGACAATCTGAAGAAAGCTCCTTCTGTCTCGTATTCCAAGAAAAGTATCTCAGATCAATCTAAGTGTATTTTATGCGTCAAAGATGCTTTGAAATCATACACAGCGCGGGAAATTCAAAACGCGAAAGAGTGTTGTGACTCTGTCCACAACAATTACCAGAAAAATAACTAAAACAACCTCAGAAAGTCTCAAGATGAAATCAAGATTTCTGAATCGGAATCGACGGGATGGAAGTCGTAATATTCGCCCTGACAGTTCTCGAAGGTAAACGAAATCGAAACCGGTAGTCGCGAGATGGGACGATAAATCTTATAAAAGCCAAACGACTCGCGGAGATTAAACGTTTCTTATAAACGACCGATCAGGGTCATTCGTCAACCGGCTACTTATCTCTGTCCCCGATTTCTGCTCCGGTCGCTCGTTAACCCGTCTAATCGTTGCTCTTTCTCCATTTTTCCTTGATCATCCAACTTTCGTCCAGCTGTTCCAGATAAATGCTCATAATTTATTACACCGTCAATTAAGATTGCTTACCTGCTTTTATCTTTCACCTAAGTAACCTGTCAGCCATGAGGAACTTTACTATGGAACCCTTTGGCTTGTGTCGAGTCACTCTCTGCTGGGTCTGATGTGAGGCGAGGTGAAATGGGATCTTGCTCAAATTTTCAATACTTGTGTAATCATAATGGCTTATATCGAGTGATCATGATTTTAGAGTTTAGAATTAAGAGTTTAAGGTGAAATGTTTAAGGTGACATGTGATCTTGCTCAGATTTTCAATACTCAGCTTGTATAATCATAATGATTTATCATATCGAGTTACTCTCATGACGCTGCTAAGTCTAATATCATGTGAGGTGACATGTGATCTTGCTCAAATTTTCAATACTCAACTTGTATAATTATAATAACTTATTATATCGAGTTACTCCCCTAACGTTGCTAAGTCTAATATCATGTGAGGTGACATGTGATCTGGCTCAAATTTTCAATACTCAACTTGTACAATTATAATAATTTATTATATCGAGTCACTCTCATGACGCTGCTAAGTCTAATATCATGTGAGTCGATATGTGATCTTGCTCAAATTTTTAATACTCAACTTGTACAATTATAATAACTTATTATATCGAGTCACTCTCATAATTTTGCTAAGTCTATATCATGTGAGGTGATATGTGATCTTGCTCAGATTTTCAATACTCAGCTTGTACAATTATAATAATTTATTATATCGAGTTACTCTCATGACGTTGCTAAGTCTAATATCATGTGAGGTGATATGTGACCTCGTTCAATTTTTCAATACTCAACTCAATATAATTCATGCAGCAATATAAAATAAATTAAAAAAGGATTACATAAGTCCGCGCAACAGCACAAGTTTTTTTATTTCCGAATATATTCGGCAAGGCGGTCACGAGTGAATGGACATTGTTCGGCGGACATGGTAAGCATAAACGGTGGAAGGGTCGATTCTCGATGTTTTTCAGTCGTGGTCCTCTTCATTCAGCCTCGCAAGCCGGTCGAACCAGTATCGTTGCACAGAACCCACCCTTCGGCGTTCGAAAGAACCTGCCTATCGATAACGTGCACGGGTAACCCACTTAAGTATTGCCTCGAAGATTACCGTTCGCTTAGATTCGCCAGGATCGTATCGACTTTATTAAAACCGTGAAGCCTGTAATTTTCTTTGAAAAAATATCGAGTTCTGAGTTTTAGATTGCTTGGATAATTTTGTTGGGATTAGAATTGCGTAGTTTGTCGAAATATTTAATATTTAAGGGAAGTGGATCAAGGTCTAGATGTGGTATCTTCAGCTGACATAAGTGTTCTCGATATTCCAAGTTACCCGGAAATCGTATTAAAGTAGAAAAGTTAGAAATAGCAAAATTCTGTAAGTGTAATATTCGAAAGGAATAGTTAGGGCAAGCTACGTTTCTGCACGATGTTCACCGAGCTATCCGACCCCCCATGGGTGTGGTACCATCTTCAGCCGAGATTATGGTCTCGGTATGGTGGACGTTACTCCCCGGGGGCTTCGCGTACTCGTATATTATATTTGTCCGAGAAATACTCTCCTCTTTTCTTGCCCTCTTACTTCCTTTTTCTCTCTTTCTCTAGTATCTTGTCCTTTATCCGTTCCTCTCTGCACGACTATTATTCGAGCTGAAGAGCTTCAAC